GATTCTCTGACCAAAATCCATTCCCAATCCTAAAACCCATCCTGTGATTCTCTGACCAAAATCCATTCCCAATCCCAAAACCCATCCTGTGATTCTATGACCAAAATCCATTCCCAAAATCCATTCCCAATCCCAAAACCCATCCCGTGATTCTGTGACCAAAATCCATTCCCAATCCCTCAAACTTGTCCCATGATTTTCTGACCAAAATCCATTCCCAAAATCCATTCCCAACCCCCAAACCCATCCCGTTTTCTCCCTCCCCAGCCGTGAAGGAAACCTGTGCCTGGTTCAACGCCAACTATGCCAGCGCCAGGAAGTGACGGCACCGGGACCGGCACCACCCGGCACCGGGATCATCCTCTTCGACTCAGGGTTGTCCTTTGCTGGGGCAGAGGATGGGGCTGGGGTGGGGGGGTGACAATGACATTCCCAAAGTAAAAATGGGAACCCGGGAAGCAGCTCCCACATTCCTGCCCCACTGCTGGGAGCGGCGCGGGACGCCCAGGGCAGGGGTGGGGGAGGAAAGTTGGGGCATCCCAGAAAGATTCCCAAATCAAGTGGTAGGACTTGTGTCCAAGAGGGTGGTGGCTCAGAGCTGTTAATGAGCTACGCTAATTACCTGCAATTAGGTGTGGTAAAGGGAAGGCAGTCAGGATTCCAGGGCATGGAAATGGCAGCAGGGAATTTGCTGCTGCTCTTGGCACGTGGGGATGATCCCACAGCCCCCTGTCTCAGGATAGGAACGGGAAAGACTCCAGCTGTAAATGTGGCATTTATTAAAATATATGCAAATAGCATAAAACTGGTGGGGTAATGAACGTCTGCCCTGGACCCACATCCAGTGGCATCCTTAGGGTCTGTGTTCTCCACCAGGATCTGGAATAACCATAAAAAGAGTTAAAACCCCTCAGGGAGAGGCGGGTAGAGGGTCAAAAATGGCGGGATGAATCCATGGCCGAGCTGCTGCTGGTGGTGTGGATGTGACAGAATTCCTGCCCGGGAATCGCTTTCTTCCGGCACCGCTGCCCAGTCCTGGTGAGACCCTGGCACAGGAACCTACAGAGGAGACACCCATCAGCACCCCATGAAGCCACCAGCAGTGGGGTCTCCCCCTGAGGTGACACCAAGCTGTGGAGAAGGGACTTTCTGGGTGGTTGGTGCTCACACGTTGGCCCTTGGGCTGCAGGGGTTGGTCTCCCAGAGCTTCCCAGCATCCATCAGCGGCTCCGGTGTCACCTGGTTTGGGAAGAAGGAGGTTCCTGCAGATGTCCCTTGTCCCCTGGGGTGCCTTGGCCATCCTTCAGGACACCCTGTTCCACCCCAAACTCCTCCCTGCATGTCGTATCCCCAGCCCTGTCTGTCTCCCAGTGGGTTGTCCCACACCCGGAGGTGCCACCGTGGTGAGGACACCCCAACCTTGGAGGACCTGACCCTCAGTGAGACCCAGGTGGCCACCAAGAGCAGGTTTTGGGGGACAACACCAACATGGGGACAATCCCACCCAGCAGCTTACCCCACACGAGTTCAGTGCTGTCCTCTGGCCACCGGAGTTGGGTGACACCTGCCCTGTGAATCTGGGAATGTCCTCGGCCACCTCTTGGGGCTGCTCCAGGTGCGAAGGGTCTGCAAGAACATGGCAGGGGTGGAGATGTCCTCCCAGTGCTCCTGTCCCCAGGCAGAGGGTGGGGACACTCTGGGGTGGTGTCACATGCCCTGGCAGAGCTTGGGGACACTCTGGACTCGTCCCAGCACAGGATGGGGTCGTGCCAGGGTTTGTGATCCGTGTCCTACAGCCACCACACCTCCCACCTTGTGGGCACCTCTCATCTTGCAGGCAGCTCATCTCCATCTTGTCCAGCTCCTCTTGCAGCAGCTCCATATCGCATTCCCTGTGTGGGAAGAAGGAAAACAGGACTCCTGTCACTTGGTGGCTTCTGTGTCACCACCACCATGGAGACATTCACCTCTCCAGCCTCTCCACACCATCCTCTGAGCAGAAATAGGTCAGGGAGTTGGGAAGAGGAGACCAGAAGCCATCAGGATGTTTTCTGTCCTTTTCTGGGGACCTCTGCCAGGTGGCTCCAGGGTGGAAAATTCAGGATGGGAAATTCAGGATGAGGCACCAAGGATGAAGTCATAGGGAAGCCACCAAGATGTGTCCTGTCCCTTCCTGAGAACTTCTGCCAGATGCCTCCAGGGTGGAAAATCCAGGGTGGGACACTGAGCAGAAACAGGACATGGAGTTGGGATAGGATGCCCCAAAACCATCCAAGATGTGTCCTGTTGTTCCCTGGAGACCTCTGCCAGATGGCTCCAGGGTGGAAAATTCAGGATGAGGCACCAAGGATGGGACACCCAGGGTGGAACATCTGAACAGAAATGGTGCAAGGAGTTGGGATGTGTCCAAAAGCCATAGGGAAGCCACCAAGATGTGTCCTGTCCCTTCCTGAAAACTTCTGCCAGATGCCTCCAGGGTGGAAAATCCAGGGTGGGACACTGAGCTGAAACAGGACATGGAGTTGGGATGAGGTGCCCCAAAACCACAGGAAAGCCACCAAGATGTGTCCTGTCCTTCCCTGGAGACCTCTGCTAGATGGCTCCAGGATGGGACATCCAGGATGGGAAATTCAGGATGAGGCACCAAGGATGGGACACCCAGGATGGAACATCTGAATAGAAGTGGTGCAAGGAGTTGGGATGAGGTGTCCAAATGCTGTAGGGAAGCCACCAAGATGTGTCCTGTCCCTTCCTGAGAACTTCTGCCAGATGCCTCCAGGGTGGAAGATCCAGGGTGGGACACCAGGATGGCACCCAGCAGCTCCCAAGGGTTCCATGCCACCTCCTCAACCATCTCCTACCTCTCCGGGGTGGAGGTGAGCCGGTAGCGGGGCTCTTCCCGGGGAACCACCGGCCGGATCCTTCCGGCACCATGGCAGGCGGAAGCCAGCAGCCAATGCCCTGTGGGAAAACGAGGATAGGAGAGGACAGATCTCCCCTGGGTGGTGTGTCCCAACCACTGCCCCCACACTTGTCCCCACCTGCTGCAGCAAGGACCAGGAAAGTGGAGATTGCTGAGATGCCGAGGGCGCTGGAAGCGAGGAAGAGGAGGAGAAAGATGGCCTGGAACGACGCCGGCACCAGTGGGAGAACCAGGAGCGTCAAGTATGGCACGCAGGAGGAGGTGGAACTCTGGCTCTGACCTGTGGGATGGGGAAGAAGATCCTGGTGGTGGCACCCACCAGCTCCCACCCATCCTCCACCCCCATTCCCGCTCACCATCCAGCTCAGGGATGGCTCTGAGGTGCTCCAGGTGTTTTTCCAGACGGATTTGTGCGTCTTCCAAGGCCGTCAGCATCAGCTCCAGGCTCTGGTTGACCCTCCGCAGCTTCTCCGTCACCTCCTGAAGGACCAGCATGCTCTCTGCATATGAAAAAGATGGATACAGCAGCGGGATGAGCCAGGGAAGACGCACCCCGGTGTGAAAAATGGGATTCCACGAGTCCCGTTGGAATGGGATTTGCTGTGTCCCCACCTGGCTGGGGATGAACATCCTGAGATCTTTCCTGCTGCTGATGGAGGCTGGATGGGACAACCTGGTGTCCTCCCCGGAGCTGCTCAGCCCCACGGCTGCTCACATTGCCTGTGGGGAGGTAAAAGAGGTCGGATCCATCCCAAAGCGGGATACGGGAATGTTGCAGCATCCCAACCCCGGCTCGTACCCGTCTGGTGGGCGATGTCCCGCAGGAGCTGGGCCACGGGGGTCTCATCCAGCGCCGACCTCATCCAGGTCTCCCAGAGCTCCTCCTGAGGCGAATTTTGGGGGGTGATGATCTGGGAATGCTGGTTTTCCCCATGGACAGCCCCAAATGCACCCCTGGGTGCTCCCAGCACAGGATGGTGAGACGGAGGAGGGGGTTTGGGGACATAAAGTATGGAAAAAGGCGTGAACTCACCCCAGAATTTGGCCTTCACCCCCCAAAAACCATCCCTACACCAAGCAAAGGCTGGGGCATCCCAGAATCCGAATTTCCCGGCCAGAGGGAATCCCACAGTGACAGGAATCCAGGTGTGACATCTCCTGGGATGTGGCTTCATCCTAGAGCAACCTGTGAAAGGGATTTGTGGGGGGAGCCCCAAATTTGGGGAGGGGGTCCCCACCTTCTCTGGGGGGGCAGCGAGGCCCAGCCACCCCAAAAATCCGGCGGTGGCGCAGAGGAGCAGCACAGCCCGGGAGCTCTGGGGCGGCATGCCGGGAATGGAGGGGGTTCTGCGGGGAAAAGAGGGTAAGGAAAAGCCCCCCCATGGAAAAATTACAGGATCCCACTCCCCTCCTCAAATTCCGGGGTCCCCTCCAGCAGGGGGAACCTCCCCTCGTGTCAGGGATGCCGGTGGGTGGGAAGCAGCTCCCACATCCACCCACAAATTAGGGGGCGCCCCTCTCGGAGGGCACCTCCCCAAAAACCCGTGGATGCCGACTGCGGGAGAGCCTCCCACACCCACGGACAACTTCGGGGACCTCCCCCACGGCAAATTCACACCCCACCCCCGTGGGGGAGATCCCTCCGTGGGCCCAGAGGTGCGGGGAAGGGTTGGGAAGGGTTTGGGTGCAGCCGGGAATTCCCTCTGGGACCCCCACGCGTGGACCCGCTGGGGGGAAGGGTTGGGAAGGGTTTGGGTGCAGCCGGGAATTCCCTCTGAGACCCCCACGCGAGGAAGGTTTGGGAAGGTTTGGGAGCAGCCGGGAATTCCCTCTGAGACCCCCACGCGTGGAAGGGTTTGGGAAAGGCTTGGGAGCAGCCGGAAATTCCATCCAGGACCCCCGCGCGTGGAAGGTTTGGGAAAGGCTTGGGAGCAGCCGGGAATTCCCGCCGGGACCTCACGCGTGGAAGGGCTGGGAAGGGTTTGGGAAGGTTTAGGAGCAGCCGGGAATTCCC